TAATGACGAATCCTAAAACTTTCCTGAAGAACGCAAAAAGGATAAAAAATTGGGAGGGGGGATAGAAGCGCTGTAGGGAAAAATATTGTTAGAAATGGCATAACTCGAGAACAAATTGTCCGATTGAGATGATCTTAGTCTCTTTGGAAAGCTAATGACGAATCCTAAAACTTTCCTGAAGAACGCAAAAAGGATAAAAAATTGGGAGGGGGAGTAGAGAGAAAAATAATGTTTAAGATCATTTTTTTTCAATTTCTTTTTTTATTTATTTTTTTATTTTTTTATATTTTGATAGCTTGTGTTGAGACCTTTCCAAAAAGCCGCCACTTATTAAAATCAGAGCCATAGAATCGGAGTTATAGCGGTTTACATTTGGAGTGGAAATTAATTGGCAATAAAAGTCGATTTGAAGAATAAAAATTCTAAAGCATTGAAATCCTGCTAAGGGCGCTCCCTCCGAGGCACTTCTCGTCCCCGGATCTGGGGTCCATGGGTTTCCTAGAAGTGTCCTAAGAACTTTTCGCCCCATTTCATTGGGGGTGGCTCGGGGGTTGGGGTGGTTTGGGCCCGAAGAAGCAGAAAAAGACCCTAGAAGAAGTGCTTAAGGCCAGGATTCAGAAAGGGTATCGGCGCCAGAAACCCCAATTATGCTCAAGAGGCTTCAATCAAGCCCTATGAAGGAGTTTGTGGCCATTGGGCCCCCCGCCCCATTGCGGAGGAGCCATATTGGGCAATTACGTAGTACTAGGCAAAGACCTTTAACAGTGTGGTCCACGGAGGACCGAGGCGGGGTGTGGCGACGGTAAATGGTTTCTGGGCTCAAATTGAAGGATCCTTATGATTTTCAGAATTTTCCGATTTTTTTTCGCTGAGATATAGTGAAATTTCCCAAGTGGACCTATAATTAGTGCCAGCCCAGAAAGTGATAAAGTTCCCTAGAATCCCTAGGATCCGGCGGAGGGGCCTCATATTGGGGGTTTTGTTTTGGCTATGGATAGGCAATCAAACGCCATATTTGATATTTTTTGATTTTGCCCCAGACTACCTACACCCCGGATGCCTGCAGTGGACCTATAATTAGTGCCCACGCTGTATATAAATCAGCATCCTTCTTTCAATGTCACACAGGACTCTTCTTCCTCGCTCAGCCATTCTCCGTCTCTGTCCACTCTCTGTCCGCCTGTGTGTTTGTCTTCCTCGTCTCGCCACCTCAATTGTCGTCTTCGTCATCGTCATCGTGAAGTTTTATTGGGGAATTTCAGAGTATATATACACACAATCTGCGAGCGTTTGGTTGCGGAAATACACAAAAGTCATCCATCTCACTCTTGAGCACCCAACCGAGCACTAAGTGGACCTTCATCTTCTTCTCCCCCTTTCTGTATTTTTACTATCAGGAACTCTCCTTTTATTCTTGTCCTCAGAACACACACCGCATCCAGAGGAGAGTGCCATCGCTCATCCCCATTGCCCGAACAGACAGCGTGATGCCACGTGGACTCAATCTCACGCCATTCCTCCAAGATTCATCTTGAGGAATTTATTATAATTCCAACGCCTTTTTCGCCTCTTTTTTCTTCTTCTCCTCTCCATCGCCCCTCGTGTTCTCTTGCTCTCTTACACACCAAAAACCCCAAAATCCGTGCTCTTTCTCACTCAATCACACACATATCGTGTGATCCTCTCCTTTCCCACTCCTTCTCCTCTTCCGCAAAACCCATGAATGAACACTTGAATGCGGGAATTATCAAGAGGACAGCGCGCGCTTGGAGAGTGAAAAAAAAGCGCAAACACTTTTTCCACCACAAAAGTGTTGATACACATATAATAATAGAAACAGGAGGAATAAAGAAGAAAAGTGAGTGAGAAAGCAGCACAAACAGAAAGCATCAGCCGAGAGAGTAGAATAGGGAAAAAAAGTGTCTATCAAAAGAGCACAGCATTGAGATCATGACACAAAAAATGCTTAATTTTCATTCTCGAAAAAATATCAACCACACACAGTCACACACACACATAACACGCCATCTCTCTCCCACTCGCACAGCACAGAGTTGAGCATGAGAGAATGTCTTACGGAGATATCTAACGTGTGGGTGGCTTATTCTGTTACAATTGCATTCCTCAGCTCAGTTTAATCTCTTCCCAAGAGAGGCTCTTTTTGGTCTTTTGTCTCCCTCACGCCATCACACAACACAAAACACACTTCCTCAATTGACACAGTGAACAATGAAAAAGAAAATAAGAGTGATGCCTAATGAATTTGCACATTTTCTTACGCGCGCGCGCGCAACTTTAAGAATCACAATCATTTTGTGTCTCTCTGTTTTAGAGAATTTAATTGCTAAAAATCACACATCAGCAATTTTCTCTGCAATTCAAATGTCTCATTATCTAATCAATCAAAGTTCTGAACATCATTTTTACAAATGGAAGAGAGACAGAGACTCTCGTCTGTGTCCTCTGACCTCTGCGACCCTCATCAGATGGCGCAACCTCTTAAGTACCTCCATGCGACCTTCTGCCGACCACATACTCGCAGCGCACAAACACAGCCATTGGACAAAGAGAATATGAGTCAAAGCTCAGAGACAAAGAGTGAAAAGGCCAAATTGCAGCCAGAAGAAGGGCAATAAAACATTTCCCCATTGTTGCTGATCGCCACAACTCCAGAGGGAATGGGATGTTCAACATGCTGTGATGATGGGGAATAATTATTTTTATTCTTTTCCCTTCCTTAATTGTGCACAATATATATATGTATGTAAGACAAAAAGCGTCTAGTCACTTTGTCCGTCACGGATATGATTCGCCAATTCCGTTACATATGCCGCGCGCGTGGAAAAATCATCTCTTCTTCTTTGCACATGAGAGTAATTAAAAAGATTCAGCACAGAAAGGCGCAATAATTGTGCAGAAAAAAGTGAAAATATCTGTCAAATCAGCAAAGAAGAATCCCCACAGAGTTCAAAAATTGATCAATTAACACATCGTAGCATACTTTCTTTTCTCTTCTTCTTCTCAAATCAATCTTGAGATCGGCATATTTTCCTCTGATTCACACATCTGGCACCCCCTTTTTTTGTGCCTTCAAGACCCCCCCAAATTTTTCCTCTGGGATTTTACTACACCATTTTAACATTCACACTCTCTCACAACCCAACAAGCAGAGAGTCTCATATCTTGGGCCACAACTCTCCTCCAGCCATGGTGAACGGCAGGGCGCAGAGAAGAGTCGGAGAGCAAAAAATAAAAACAAAAATTGGTCGACGAAACGGCATTTAAAATGGAAGAAGGAAATAAAACAAGTTTATGGAGTTTCAGGGTGGAAGACCCAAATGGTGGCGGGCCGCGTTCCCTGCCATCGGCCTCTCACTCGCGCACACCATCGCGCCCATCGTGCCGTCCCACTCGAGCACGACCCAGAGGTGCAGAACCATCCATTCCGGGCACACTGGTGCCTCCTTGCCGTCGTGCACGCCACTGGATTTCCTTGGAACCGCGCTGGTTGGCCGGTTCCATGGTTGGACGAACTGCGCGCCGTCTCTCGCTCTCTTTCTCTCTCTCTCTCTCTTGCCCTCCCGTCTCCCCGCTGTCCCTTCCCGTGCTCCTGCTGCGGCTCCCGACCATTTGGGCCGTCGTGTCTCTCCGTCTCTTTCCACCTCCACCCATTTTTTTCCTTCTCCACCCAACCAACTTTTTTCCTCTGCTCCATTTTCGAGAGAATTTTATTAATTAAAAGTAATTGCATTCTAAATCCCCATCTTGAGCAACACACACCACAATCTCTCTCTTGCTCTCATGCTCTCACTCTCTTTCTCTCTCTCTCTGTGTCTACTTTGGCATCCCATTTTCTGCCTCGTGCACCCAAATTGCACCAATTGTCCGTTTTTCCGTCCACAACCGTCATCTCTCCTCCCCCTCCCGCGACCAGAGAGCGCCGTTGCAACTTTAAGAAAAGCCTCCCAAACCACCCATAGAAATCCCCGAGTCAAAACAACCACTTTCATCTTCCTCTTATTATATCAGAGCCCATCAAGAAACTCTCTTCTCACGGACTATTTCAGCATTAACCGATTAATCTCACACACCACACTCACACAGCCACACACAATCCACTCGTCGCACACGGCAAAATGCCACACACCATGACAGAGTATAAACAAAAGAAACAAAGTCGATGTGTCTTTTGTTTCTCCCCTTCCAAATTCCCAGTAAAACGCCATGGTAGAGCGACTTGGGTATTTTTCTTCGGGTCTCTCCGCATGTGCACAATTTTCCTCAAGGTGAAAATTTGCCATTTTTCATTTAAAGGATGCAACGAGTGAAGTGCCACAGAAGAGAAAAAGAATGAAAGAAACTATCATCATTGAGAAGAGAAGAGAGCGGACAATGAGAAATATTAACATCTATTCACATATAAGCACGCCACTGACTGAGAGATGCATAAGTAATGTAGTTTTTCTATTCCAATTTTACTCCACAACAGAATGAAGAAGATGAGGAGGAACAAAGCTTTGTGGCAGATTTTTTGAGAGTCCTTGTGAGGACTTTAGATAGGTTGTATGAAAGTGAGAAATGAACGCACTGAATTTGACAGCTGTCCATGAATAATTGCTCAATCAGCTGTCACTGTATTCATCCTGGGTTCATCTCTGCTTCCAATATTCACCATCTGAGCACCTCAAGTAATACCGCAAATTTATAAATTATTAGTCACAAGATAGTGATTTCACATTCTACTAAGCCTAATTCTTAGGATTCCAAATATTTAGAAGAGAGAAAGAAAAAAATCTTCCGAAGACTGTTTAAAATGGCGGACGCGAGTCTCTGACATCATGCCGCTAATTAAGCGCACTGAAGTGACACATTACTTATGCACGAACCCACGACTCGAAACTCTATTGCAACTTTTAATCCTAATGGAATTTGCTGTGGATGGAAGATTCGCTCTAGCGATACGGGCAATCCTTCCCGGGCGACTGTGCGCTTGTACATACCGATGGTGGTGGTGTGTGGACATTGTGCAGATTCTGTTGGTGCTGCTGATTCTGGTGCTGCTGCAGAGCATTGTCAATGTTCTGGCCGCCCGGATACCACCATTGCGTGCCCGGCGTGGCTGTCATGGGCTGCGGATCGCCAGGCCTGGCCACCATGCCGCCCATGAGGCGGTAGTCGTAGGCGCCCACGGGCGAATTGCTCGTGACCACTGTGGTGCCTGAGATTGTGGTAGCGGGATTCTGGAAGCTGCTGGCCATCTTGTACGAGAAGAGCTGCTGGGTGGGCACCACCGAGGCCGTGCTCTGCTGTCCACGTGACTCACTGTGGACCTGCTGCTGCGGCTGCTGCACGGCCTGCTGGTGCTGTTGCTGAATCTGCGCCTGCTGCTGCGCCAATTGCTGCTGGTGGTGCTGATTGATCAGATGCTGATGGTGCTGCTGCAGCGTCTGCTGGTCCGTGGACGCTATCGCCCCTGGCCACCACACAGCCTCCTCGCGCGCGCCCCAAGCACCCCGATGGTGCTCCGACATGATGCGCGTCTCGGTATCTCTGGGCTCCGCTCCCTTGGGCGCTCACACTCTCGACTCCGCCGTGGCACAGACCCCGAAAAATTCTCTCTCACTCTTCTATCTCTTCACCTCCCCCCCTGAGAATGGCACACACTACCACACATACAACGCACAGACACTTCCTCTGCCCCGAATATTACTCTCAACTTTCCAGCTCAGAGCCGCCTTTGTCGAGAGCGCGTTTCCTCCTCCTTGCCCTCTCAACTTCTGGCCCGTCGTGCAATTTTTCCCTTTTTTCCCGCACACAGAAACTCCACGAATCCGCGGCCGCACAAACTCTCCTCAATTCAGCCTTTTTTCACACGCCCGTGTGCTTTTCTTGCTTCTGCGGGGAGTCCACAGCACAGGACCTTCTTTATTTACAGCAACTGTCTCTCCTCATCACTTTCTTACCCCGCGCTTTATTCCTGCACAGGACACAGCACACGATTCCACACGCAAAAAAACACCGGACAAGGATCCTTCCACCGCAATTGCTCCAACTGATTTTTTTGCGAAAAAATACCCAAGTGTACAATCTCAACGCGCGCGCTCTTCTTTCTTTCCGTCACTCGGGCTCCTCAACTGTGCCGTTGTAGTTGAGCACCCGACTCGGGGTGTTCTCGGTCGCCTCTCGGAGATGGTGAATTTTTACATCAGCACCTCTCACTCGCACGCCTATTTTATTTCTCGCCAGCGCACCCAGAAAAACTGACGCGTCTCGCTGTCTCACTCCAGCCCGTGCACTCGCTTACGGCGACACCACGTCGTGTTGCCTCACTCGGCTGGGCCCCAACGAAGCGCCAGTGAAAAACGCGCGCACCGCGATCTCTTTCCCACCTAAGCGCCCTCTGTGTGTGTGCGTGAACCCCACACGGATAGGCACTTGGTCAATTTTGTATTGGTGTGGCTGAGGAAAATTTTCCTCTCACACTTCCACCGCCGTCCGTGTGTTGGTGAGCGGCTCGTCGAGTCGATATTGGAGCGTCTACCACGCTTTTTCTCCCTCTCACTCTATCGAGGCCGATGACGTCGCAGTCGAGTGCTGTGTTGCCAAACGACTACAATTTTTCACTGGATTCTTCGGCAGACACCGCCGTCTGTCTCGCTCTGGCACTCCGCTTCAAAATTCTATGGCGCTGATTTACGCATGAATTAATATTTCCCAGCAAAAATGGGGGTTACTCGAGTCGTGGATGATCCAACAATCGCTCTGTTTCCCCTTGTCTTCACTCCTGCCAGCTGCACTGCCGCCGGTCGCCTGGCTTTTTCCACTTTTCCGCCAAATTCCACCAGTCAAGACAAAATTCTAGCCACCACACACAGAGTGTCTTCTTATCTGCCAATCCGCGGTCGCGTTCTCAAGTCAGGACAACTCGTTATTTTAACCTTGTCTCTGACTCTCACAGGCCAGGATATATTTAAAACGCCGAACAACTGAGAACAGGTGTTGACTCTATGCTCTTCAGCCACAAAATGTCTATTTTCTTCTTCCGCTTTTAGACTCAAATTCCAACTAAACTCCCTTAATTCTCTCCTCTACGACAATGTCCTACCAACTTCCCTTCACTGCCCTATTATTTCTTCACTGACTGCGCTTTTGCCTATTCCTCGAACACCTCTCGCTATTGCATTAGACTGCAACACGCGGAGATTATTAATAATGGGCTCAGATAACAAATATAAACTGGGGAGCGCGGCAAAAAGCCGTGCTTAGAACGCTTTTCACAGAAGAAACTGACCAAACCACATATACGCACAATATTCAGCCGCCTTTTTCTTCTCGCTACAAAACTCCTGCAGCGCGTTCTCTCTTTCCCCCCTTAAAACTCTGCTGTGTACAGAAAATCCATACCAGCAGAACGGCAACGCTGCATTTTAAATTTAACACACACACCAGCTCCAACACTATTTTTTCCAAACACCAAACACACTCACACACACGCTCGCGAACCCAACGCCCAAATATCCACTACCAACACATGCGCCCCTATGGTGGCAACGAATAAAACAGGGACGCCAATAAATGAAAATGGCACCCAACGGATGCGCCCTCATAACGCAGCGGAACGAGATGAAACTACACGGGCATCTTGGGCACGAAGGGGCGCCGAAGGCACTTCGACCACGTCACGATGCCAGACCGGTCTAGCCGGTCAATACGTGCGACAAGGAGGGCGATAGCAAACGCACGCACACCGTCTCACCCCATTTTGCCGGTGTGTTGGAGAACGCTCAGATGCCGAGGGGCCTTCAAGGGTGAGCTAATGACATGTGCCCCGTCTCGCTCGCACACCAAGCCTAAATCACCCATTTTGGCTCCCCCAAAAAAAATTGCCGACGACCCAAAGAAGAAGAAAAATCCCATCTTCCCGGGGCAAAATCAAGAAGAGGCCCCAATTTAGAGAAAAACTCTCCACCTCCCAGGAAAAAAACAAAAGCAAGGCATTGTAACGACAATTGAGCCCTCTGATGCGTAAAACCCTCACTCTCTGTTTCTGCGCTATCACCTGCCTCGGTGGGCTTTTGTTTGTCCCAGAAGAGCACCCTTCCTTGGGAAAGTCAACGTCTCCGTTTACAACATTTATCGTCTCTCAGGGCGCATCTGCCTTGCCCGCTTTTTACAACCCAGAGAGAAAGAGAGAAGAGGTGGAGGTGGTCCGAATATTTGGGGGAAATTTCCTTTGTTTGACCATTTTACTCTCTTCCGGAAAAATCAACCCATAAGGGAATTAAAAAAAACTCGTACTCACACTTCTGATACCGCACTTGTCCCAGGAGAGCGCGCGTCCCTCGTCAGCACACTGTCTCAGAGTATCGTCTCAGTGGATTCTGCAAGATAACACAAAGCATTCCATGAGAAGCGCTGATAAGCCCAGATTGCAACACCTGTTTTCTACAGACATCTCCCGGAAGCATTCCGGAAGCCTTCCACTCGCAGGCGGGCGAGTGAAATTGGCGGGAAAATGCGTCAGAGGCGCGAGAAAGCCACCGTGAGGGCATCAATGGAGGAGATTCCCAAAGTCAAATCCGGACACCGGCAATTTTCGCGCCAATCCGCTGCTTTTTTCTTTTTCTTGCCACTCTCACAAACTCTCTCTCTCTCTCTCGCTCTCGCTCTCTCTCCGGGAGAGTGTCGTGCCGACGTCGTTGTCATCCATCATGAAAAGTGCTTGAAGAAAGCGAGAGTTGACGAAAGGAAAAATTCCCATCTTTCGCCATTAAATAGCACACCTCATGACAAAATGACATAATTTTCCACAATCAGTGAAAGAGAAAAATCTCCACGGAAACTTTTCCTCATCCTCTCAGCGAAATGCGAGGCGTTTCCGAGAAATATGCTCCGGAAAAAGCAAGCAAGCAACGCACTCTCGTTGGACGCTTTCTAGCCAAAATACCTCTTTCCCATCTCAAGGAAAATCGCATATTGCAGGGAAATTAGTATTGAATCCACCTGAAAAACACACCACTGATCTCTCCCGCGGATTAATCTCTCTCTCACGCAAAAAGAGACACCTTTTTTGCCTTTGAATGCATCTTTTTTTCCCCACAGGCGCTCAGTTGTATTTTTCACCGACTTGTAGCTCCAATTTTCACCGTGAAATCATCACAAAGCGACTCATGTTTCACCACCACGCCACACCCAACTTACGTGGTAATGCAAGATGTTGTAAAAAAGATGCAATATTAGTGGATTTTCAATGGATTTTGCGAAAAATCACAGCACATATCACACGAAAAACACAATTTTATGACATCTCACTTGTCAGCCATTTGCTAAGGCGACCAAAAGAGAGTGAGAGAGAGCCTTTGTTTGAGAGAGTGACAGAGCGTGTGTGGCGCCACCGGACGACCGGTCACCACACCATGCCGCATATGAAATTCAAGTATGGCAGTCCAAATACTAAAAATGAGAGACGCATAGCACTTGAGGGGGAAAAGACACTTTTTGTGCGTCAAATGAGGCGAAAAACCGCGTAGGAGATCATCGAGACACACCTGCAATATTCACAGTTGATCAATTGACTGCAATCACTGCAATTTATCACTGATTTACACGAATAATTTGGTGTTTATTTCTCTGGTGGCCAAAACTTCAAATTGCTTCCATATTAAAAGTACACAGGAGAAACAATATAGGCGAGCAATAGGCAAAGAGGCAAAAGAAGCACTTCACGGCGTGCACACACTCACAATATTGTATTGCTTTTAAATAACACAATACACACTTCTCACTCGCACTCACGTTCACCGTCCCGCTCTCACTTACCGAATCCCCCACTCGGTGAGTAAAAAAAACACCCCACACACATCAAATCGACACGACTCACTAAATGACTCTCATTTTTCCCTCCTCTCTCTTTCGCTCCTCTTGACACATTTGCCGCCGCTGCGCGACAAGGACGGCCTGCGTTGGGATTCCGCCTGAGGAACAGAGTGGTGCGATTGAGCTGACACCGTTACTTCCATCGACAGTCCCTGTCACAGCCTTGATTGGCAAATTATAGGCTCTCCCGGCGAGCTGTAGGTTCAAAACAGAAGCGAAGCTTCAGCCACAGCAGCCGCCGATTGGACTGCCAATGCAATTCAAGCGTCCCACCCTGTGCCACACACACTACTGACCGATTTTCCCAGCAGACGCGAAGAGAGACACCTTCCCGAAAAAGATGGACTTTTACCCGCAAAATATGCTATTTTCACATGAATTACCACCAGAAAGGTCCCCGGATCAGCACTCGGACGCCACCTGAGGGAGTGTCAAACTCCAACGATGTGGATTGACTGAAAGAGGAGACAAAATACTTTTTTCCTCGCCTTTTTGTATATTTAGCGGGGCAGAATAACCACACAAGAGGTCGATTGAGAAGGCGACGTTACCATTGCAAATAGCAGCGCGCACACACACACGCGCCAGCGAGTGTCAATGGGCGAAAATGGGATGGAGAATGGAAAAAGTCATATTATTTCTCAAAGAAGCAATAATAATAATAATAATGTGACGTGCGTTTTGTTTGCGCTGGTGTGTATCAATGCTTTTTTGGCCATCGCCACTCGTTCGCCATCCCGCTTTCGCCCGCACCGCGGGTGGGACGTGAGAAAGAGAGAGAGAGGAGGATTTTATGACATATTTCCCCTCGCCCAAAACATTCTCAGAAGCATTCTGTTTGTCCTTTTCTCATTCATTCTTCATGCATACGCAAGCGACAGCGTAATAAAAACAGCTCAACGCAAAAGGATAGAAACCCCATCGAAATATTCATTCTAATGCGTTTTCATCATAATTTCTCAAGAGGTTGAAAATCTTCCATTAATTGAAAAAGCTTCAAAAATGAAGAGAAATTTTCACCGATAATTTCCCACTCTTTCCTATTAGCTGTATTTGCAACTGCGTCTATTCTTCTCAACCAAAGTGTTAACTGAAAATAAGAAATGTTTCAACAAACGAAAATGCTTTTCTCTCTTTCTCACGCATTTTCGCCTACTAAGCAGTTGTAACATAATCAAAGCTTCCCCTGACGGTTACCAACCCCCACCCCAAGTGCAGTGAACAGAAAAACTCCCTCATTTTGCATTTTTACGACATATTTATCCCCATTTTATGCTAATCTCGATTCATCCCTCATTGCTTCTCTGTCACTCAACAGAAAAACCCACAAAACGCCCCGCTTTTCTCGGGAATGTTTCTCTAACACAGCATTTCCTATTGTTGTGAAGGTAAATAAATAAAAAGTTTTATGGGGGATTGAAAGAGAATAACATTGAATAAAGCAGTTGATTTTTTTTTCAGTGTAAACGCGCGCTTTCTATGACAACAGCGACCCCAAGTGACTGGGATACGAAAACCTATGCCTTTGATTTTGGAGAACGAAATGCGCAAAATGTTATTTTGAGCTTCAAAATGCAATTTTACCAATTCTACTTTATAAACATAGTAAATCTTTCAAGAATTCTATGTGGATAAAATTCTACGACATGAGAATTTTGAAAACACGCAAACCGTATGCAAAACAGTCTTTCAATAATTCTAAGCAACTCGCCTAGATTTTAGAAGGAATTGCTTTTCCGTGTCGTTATTTTTAAGAAAAAGAATGTTCTTCAATCTGCTCCTCAGTAATTACAACCATATTTTTACAGAAAATACAAGTTTTCCGCTGAAGAAAACTTCCATCAGCGCGGCAGCCGGCGGCAAAGTGGTGATTATGAGAATTTCACCTCAGTGGTGAGTAAATCGTTACGACGGAAAATGCAAAGGAATCTCGTGCAGGGCCTGAAGCTGCTCTCCGTGGGCGCCAGGAGTGCCCCGCGATACTTCTCCACCGTGACCAGATGGCAGAATCCCCGGCGCCTCCTCGCCAGTCGCGAAAAAGTACACTTCGCAGCGATTCGGGGGATGTTTATTCAGACGCAAGAGACTCCAAATCCGGACAGCCTGAAATTCCTCCCGGGACGTGATGTTCTGGGCACCGGCAACACCATGGACTTCCCTACGATGGGCAGCGCCACTGGGAGTCCGCTGGCGAAGCTGTTATTCCGCGTGGAGGGCGTGAAGTCGGTGTTCTTTGGCGGAGACTTCATCACCATCTCCAAGGCCGAGGACGCTGAGTGGGGCATCCTGAAGGCCGAGCTGTTTGCTGTGATAATGGACTTCTTCGCCAGCGGCCTGCCCATCCTCACGGGCGCGAAGCCCAACAGCGAGACACGTGAGTAGAACGTCCGGGCGGAGTCTGGACAGAGGAGAGATTGATTGTGTGGCGTCTTGCAGAGATCAACGAGGATGACGACGAGACTGTGATGATGATAAAGGAGCTGCTGGACACACGAATCCGCCCGACGGTGCAGGAGGACGGCGGAGACATCATATTCATGGGCTACAAGGATGGCGTGGTGCAGCTGAAGATGCAGGGCTCGTGCTCCTCCTGTCCCAGCTCCATCGTGACACTGAAGAACGGCGTGCAGAACATGTTGCAGTTCTACATCCCGGAGGTCGTGGCGGTGGAGCAGGTGACGGAGCCCTCGGACGAGGTGGCGGAGAAGGTGTTTGACTCCCTGGAGAAGCATCTGAAGGTCAAGGAGAAGGACTGAGACTGTGTGGTTGGCAATAGAGATTTGGCTATTTATGCGTTGATGTTATTGACTTGATGCGGGACTCTGAGATGAGCGCCTGGATGCTTCCCATGAGCGGAATCGCGTGCTTCAGTGGCATTGTCTTCAGCTGCGCCGCCACGCTCTGGCCGAACACGTCGAATTCGTCCTGCGACGAGGCAGTTGACGCCACAGTCGCTACCGTGGGAGACTCCGAAGTCTCTGGGATGGTGTAAACTGTGTCTGGCTCCGCCTCGTGCTCACAGCTCTCCTCGCGGCCCTGCTCGATATACTCAATGTACACCTCCTCCTGCTCCGACACGGCGTTCTCGTCGTACGCCAGATCCTCCATCTTCAGCACCATCTCGGGCTGCTCGTCCTCCTCTGGCGATGCCTCGAGTTCCTCGCGCGAGCGCTTCCGCGGGCCGCGCGCGCGAATCCTCTTCAACTCCATGGGCTTCCGTGGCGTGATCACGGGATCCAGGAACTCCATCTCGTAGTACCACGACAGCGTAGGCTCCTGGTTCTCCACGTTACTCACGCGGTCGCGCATCTGCAAGTACGTGGAGCGCAGAGCGTGAATCTTCTTCTTCACGGCCTCCAGTGGCAGCCGGAACTCCTTGGCCATCTGCCTTAGCGCCATGCTGCGGAGTCTGCAACAGATACATTAATTAACGGTCGGATTGCGAGGAATGAACATGACTTATTCTTGTGCACTCACGCCTTATCATTGTACTCCGTGATGCCGACATTCCACAGACACTCGTGCCGCCGATACTCCCGGATGAAGTCGAACGTCTGCGAGCGACTGAAGCGGCTGGCGCGACCTCTGCCTTTGCCTTCATCCTGCGCGCCCAGATCGTCTAGGTCGTCTCTTGAATATTTGTCGGATGCCATGAAAGTGCTCCTCGCAAGAATTTTCACGGGGGGCGAATCGCGCGTCACCTTGCAAGCGTCCGGACTGTCATGCCAACAGCGCCGCCGTGGCGGGTGGATGAGATACAAATTCGAAATGCCCGAGAAAGTAACGTAAAATCAGAGTTGCTCGTCCTCTCAAGTGCCACGGCAAAAGCATAGATAGGATGAAGATTATGGCAATTTATTTCAATCATTATATGTTTCAATGTTGTCTTAGTTCAATTAACTGATGCTGACGCTAGTGAATGAACAGCCTGAGGACGTTCCTGACCTTAGAATTGCAAATTGGGCATTTCTTGTTCATGTTCCACGTCTTCTTGGCGCACTTGTAGCAGCAGCACAGATGAAGACAGCTGCTGTGCACGAAGACACCGTTCTTCGGCTCCTTCAGGCAGATTATGCACGGCTCATCAAGCGGATTACTGTTCTTGACACGCATCGGATCCTTGCAGATCGTTGTCTCTTGACTCTCCGGCAGTATCGTTTGGCCATCAGACTCCTCAGGCTTACTCTCATATCTCACCTTCTTACGCACATCATCCGGGATGTCAACTGACTTCGTGCGCTTTTTGCGACGTTTGGGGCGCGCTGGAAAGTATTCCTTCCGAGTGCGATAGCAATTCTCACAGTAGCGATACAGCGGATTCTTCTGCTTGCTTTTGCACTTGACACACTCCCGGAAAAAGATCCGATTAGTCTTACGATCTTTGGGGTTCTCATAGGACGCCTCAGTGCCCTTGGAGAGGGAAGACTCACTCCGGGACAAGCTTATCTTCCTATGCATCAAGTTCATGGCGGTAAGTATTATATCAGTTCCAGTGGAGGAGTCATCGGAATAGAGTTTGTTCTCGGAACTGCTATCCGTGGCCACTTCGAACTGCAGCACCGGAAGCAACTCATTATCATCGGGAGATTCCGTGTCGGTGGTGTCCTTGCACAAATCCGTTTCACGTTCATTGAAGCTATCGTAGGATGCGTCGTCGTCAGACTTCACGCTCTCCTGCGGACTCTCTTCGGCCAGTGTTACGTAGAACTTGGGCGTCAGGACACCCTCGGAGAAGCCCTCATCGTCCCGTGGCGTCAGCTTCACCTCACACTCCAACGATTCCTGTCTCGCGACACACATTTCCGCACGCGTAAAACTAGGAATCATCTCCACAATGGCCGCCGTCTGAGAATCTTGTTCGATCTTGCTTTTCGCTTGACGTCACCAGCAGAGACCCAAACCATTCGGAGTTGATTTTCGACTTCGCGCGTTCCGAAAAAGGGGAAAATAATTTCATTCTCTGTGTGTTGTTGATTATACAAAAATCATACAGAAATCTGCTTTTATTATCAAATTCATCTCATTTATAACCTCCTGTCGAAATGAAGTGTTTTCAGAGTGTCAAATAAAAAATAGAGCATCTATTCTTCAGCAAATAAACCTATGAATTTTTCATGACAAACTCTCCCAGCCCAAGGAAATCTCAATCATCGGAAGGAAGGAAAGTTTGATCTCTAAATGACAATAATGCATAGATCTACTATTAAATATTAAAATTTATCAAAATAGTCAATATAATAGCTTTTTCTTTTCCTTTACAATCAAAGAAAACAAGGACACTCTCTCTAGAGGGGAAAAATAATAAATCTGCTGTTAAGCTTCTTAGCCAATATGATTTTTGAGAGTCCTTTTAAGTGAACAAGGAAATAAATTGCAGGGAAAGGAAAACTAATAAAAAAAAGGGAAGTTTAGGAAGAAAAAATATCTCTCGCATTACAAATGACACTTATTATCCCTTCATCTCATATCTCAAAAGTGTGTGTGATCTCTTCTCCTTTTTTTCCATTTCTACATTTGATCAATATATTAATAGTTATGTTTTTTTTTCATCATCATTAAATTGTATACTCAAACACAAAAAAAATTCATTAAGTCGCCATTCAAAATCGTTTCACTCGTAATCATTGTTCCACTTATAAATGAAATATATAAACCAAAGTATAATGTTTGCAACTCGCTCATCATCATCTTTCGAATAACAGAAAACATGATTTTATTCTCTTCAATCGGATTTACGCGCTATCATCTCTAAATTTTCATATATATATAATTATCCTTCTTCATTTTCTTTCTTTTTACTTAAAGTTTGTTTGTTTTTTTCACACCACACACATTCAAATGGATTTTTTTCTTCTTCTTCTCCTCCTCCTTTTATGCTGTATGAAATATTTTCCTATGTATGTAAAATTCTCTCAATGTCTTCAATCTACTAAATCTCTTCTTACATTTTTTTTTAGCTTCAATGCGATTCCTTTTTACACTTTTATATAATAATGAAGTTGAAATTTCAAGTTCAAATCTGCCTTAGATAATGTAAAATTTGTGTCTAAATCTTATCAAATCATTGTTTTTATTTTCTTATAGTTTGTTGGTTGTGTTTTGTGTTTCTCTCTCTTTATTTCCACATCTAAATTTTCGTTTCCATCAATCTTCTCTGTTATTTGTCAAATTGGTTTTGCGCCCAACCACAAAACTCTTCTTTTCTCGCCGCCCACAATATTTAAAAAAGAAAAAAAAACAATATCTTTTTACCATTCGATGAAGTAATAATTAATGTGTGTAAATTAAATTGTAATGAAAATCTTCCAAGTACATTTCTCTCTCTCTCTCTCTCTCTCACACTCTCATCATCCTTCCCTTATCGCGCGCGCACACATCTACATAATTCTCAGTGGTGTTTTACATATTATCATTAAATGTCTTGCATATCTTGCATTTCGTGTGGATTCAGCAAGCCAGGCACCGACATTTGAACACGTCTCTTCTCCTCTTGCGCCAGCCGAAGCGCATTCTCGCGCTCCTCCAAGAACAAGTCCGAATCATCCTCTCCAGTCACCTCCTGAAAAGACACCACCACAGTCAGAAAGATCACAATTATTATTATTGTCAATTAGGATCAGAAGAAGAAGAAAAACATGCGCGACAGCAAAATTTAACTTCAATTCGCACCAATTCAGTCTCAATTTAGCATCAACTGCTAATCAACTTGGGAATTAGAACACAATTTTTCACGAAGAATAACAACAAGAAATGAAATTCATTGAGAATCACTTATCGCGCCAGCGATAAAGGATAATTTTAGTGACTTTAGCTCTTCAGGGAAAACAGAAAAAAGTGTTGAGAATCAAGAGAAGTTACTATAATAACTCAAACCATCTTCAAATACACAGAGATGTTAAGCATAAAGAAAGTAACAGAAGTATGTTGAAAGGTTATCAACTACTTCAGTGAGATATCGTGAAGATTTCACATCAAAGCACTAAAAATTCTCAAGATTCTTAAATTTTGATGAGAAAAATATGCAAAATTGCCCAAAATCTGATAAAAAAAAATGAAGGAAGATTTGACACTCACCCGTATTTGAACTAGGAAATCCCTCAAATGCTCCTTAAATGCCGCAACATCTTGGTTCAAGTTGAAGAGGCCCGTGACAAAGACCTTGATCTGGTTGTCGGTCAAGTGGGTAAATGCACTCTTGAGCAGCGACGCCACGTACTCCTGCACGTAGAGAGTATTGCTGGGAATGGGGCCCAGATTGACCGTGATCTGGTCCGTCTCCACCAGCGTGAACATGTACGCCAGAATCTGGGCGTGCATCAGCAGATTCGCCGTGTGCGACGTGTCCGTGACCACGGCGAAGATCTGCGTGAGGATGTCCGTGAAGTATGTCTGATAGAAGCTCTGCGCCGCCTGCGGATGAGCCGCCAAGTTTGTCAGCATCTGCAAAGCAAAGAATAAAGATTAGTGATTTTGTCACACTTCTTGATGAATTGCGTGACATTTTGACACACAGAGTGAATTAGGAAAGCAAATATATAGAATGTTTTATGCATAAATTACCTGATAGAGAATATTCAATCCATTCTCCGCCACATTTCTCATCGTGTGCTTAAATGCCCAGACAATTGAGTCGAACACAAGACGAAATTGGGCAGGTGGAATATTCAAGAATGCATCAAAGCAGTGCGCATTGACGGCAAATAGCAACTCATAGAAGTTGGTGCGATGCTGCGGGAAGTCCTCGAGATTGTCCTTGATCATATCCAGCGTGCACTCAAACACCGAATCCAGAATCTTCGGCACATGCTGCGTTATCCTGCCCTGCAGCTTATTCACAATTGACGCCATTGTACTCAACACTTTGGCCTCCCTGGCCATTGGCACTTTGGTGCGCTGGTAATCCACAAGAACAGCCTCCAGCAGTGGCGGTATGAAGTTGTCCATCACCAACTGCGGATCGCCCGACTTCGTGATCCACTCTGAGATGAGCGTGAGCGTCTCCTTCGTCACCACATTCATCTCCTTGATCAATGGCTGATTTGTCACATTCACACCATTCAGCTGAATCGCCTGACTTATGTTCTCCGACATTATTTTGTACACATTCAGCATATCCAGATAGATGCGACCCAACTGTGTCACGTACGCATGGCCAAGTGCCTTGCACGCGCGCACATTTGTCTTCAAGATACTCCCCAGCTGCTTCACCGCCGACATATCCTTCAGATAGTCCACATTCTTCGACGCCTGCGATATTATCTCGTCCCACACCTGATTCGGCAGCATCATGTACTTCTCAATCAGCGCCTCCTGGGCCACGCAATCCGCCTGCGCGGAGATCATGTAGCCCACAGCCTCGTAGAACGTGTGCACCTGCAAGGAAAACACCATGTTAAAGCAACCATTTTGAACTTTTGCGTACGAATCTTGGGTGTTTTTGCCCCTCTTTAGTCAATCTATTGAAGACTATAAGACAGAGAATGAATGAAAAACTCCCTAAAGTTGATAATTCTACTATAAATCCATGATTAATCCATGATTAAGGAAGTAAAATCTATTGCCCAAGCCAAATTATCAACTTCAAGCCTGATCTAGAAGAGGATTCAGAGGGAATTCTTTAATGAAAAGAAATCTTTTGCCTCTTTGCAATGCAAGAAGTTCACCAAGAAGTCATTCTATCACGAAATGCTATTCAAGAAGACATTAATTGACTTGAATTGAAGGTGAAAATCCCTAGAAAATCTCTCCCATCGCGTGAAAAGACATTTTGAGGCATTGAGAAAAGGGAAAAACTCACCTGTTGCGATTGCAGATCGCACATGATGGTGCTCATGGATCCGAGAATCTCGTCGATAAATGTACACGCTTCGTTGGTCTGCATCGTGACAAAGTGACGCCGACACTTGAGGGCGATCTTGATGAATGTGTCACATGCCATGTCCTGCACGCCATCGTGAGTCTCGTGCATGAATTCAAACAACTTATTCACCACTGTCTTGAGGAATTTCCAGTGTGCCCGCAGAAATCTGGGATACTGCCCAACAACATACATAATGTTTGACGCAATAATCGCCTTGTTGTCCTTCCCCTTCTTCTGCTCACACAATCCCAACAGCTCCTTAATCACCGTCACGAGAAAGCGCTTCTCGTCCTCCTCATGGAAAGCGCCCGAAATCGAGCCGATGGCCCAACAGAGTGTGTTGAGATTTTTCCACGAGAACTCCGTGCCATTCACCTGCTCCATCAGTCGTGAGATCATGATCGTCTCCGTGTCCACATAGTCCAAGTGCGTGAGATACACCAGCGTCTCACGCATGCTCTTGTACAGATTGATCGCATTGGTGTCCTTCATGAACTCACGCACCACCTCGCCATTCTCATTCTCCACCACCAGCACCTCCTCCGGCTTCGCCATGCGGTAGATCATGATGCAGCGCACCTTCGACAGCGTGTCAGCATAGATATTCCGGCGTGACGGTGTCGTGATGCGGAAGGGCGCCTGATAGGGAATCTCCTTGTACAGCGCCGCCGCCAAGCTGTTCCAGTACTCCAGGCAGATCTTGAAGATCTCCACATCCTCCACCTCAGAGATCAGCAGCAGATAGTGCAGCGCCTTGTTGAACGACGCCGTGTTGTTCTCCACCAACTGACCGTGCTCCTTGAGGAACGTGCACAGAAACATGGCGAGATTCTGAATGAAGTTCTGCTCCGCATCCGAACCATTGTAGTAAATGTGATTCATATTGGTGATTGGATTGATGATGGCGCTAAATTGCTCCACCGTCTGCTCAAACATCTCCACATAGATGTGGCGGTAGTTGTTGACCGTGAGTCCGGCAATCTCCGACAGACACTTGAGCGTGACATTCCGAAACATTGGCACAGACAGGAATTTGTTGATCAGCGTCGACACCAGTTTCGTCTCGAAGATATATCCATACGGTATCCAATTGAGGAAGCGCAGCAGCGTCTCCAGTGTGGCAGCAATTAGTGGTGCATTCAGTGAGCCCTCGAGCACGAAGGAGCACAGCTGAAAGATCTGCGAGAACTCAGAACACATTGTGTCCTTCAGATGCTTCGCTTTTGTCTGTGTAATTTGACCCGAACTGAAGTCAAACACTTCCTCGCTGAGCAATTTGAGGATCTGCATGTTGTTCTGACACAAACTCTCATTCGTCTTCGACGCACCGACAATGTCACCAATGAAGGACTCCCAATTCTTAGGCCACTCACGCTTCAGGATCTGCACGAGGATGATATTGAGCTTGTTCAAGTACACCTTATTCGCCTCCATCACGGCCGAATCCGAGGATGTCTTTATGATCAATCCCACAACGTACTTCTTAATGCCCTCACACTGATTCCGCGGCAGAATCTTCCATCGCGTCTTGATGACCTCCTCGAGTATCTGCAGTGCATAATACTTGGTCTGCTGATTCTGCGAATACTCCAGAATTGTATCCACACGCGTCCACGCGTCCGGATGCTCCTTGAGCGTGGTGAGGACATCCTGTGCCATCCGCAACTGTTCACCCTGACTGGCATAAAGACTCTCCACGATGTTATCCAGCAGGCCAATGTCCAGCTTCTCATTGAAGTCCAGCAATTTGCGCGCCTCCTCGAAGCTCAGAGTCGCCATGGTGCGCTTCTTATCTCGCCAAATTCACACACAGATTCTGCACACGCTCTAATTCTCTCTCTTTCACACACTCTCTCTCTCTCTCTCTCTCTCTCAAGTCTTCTCGTGGAACCCTTCACTGCTCTTCCTGCCACTCTGTCCGCGCTGCCCTTTGGCTTCACCTGCACATTCACAATCCAGGACTTCCTTACTCTAGGAGAACATCAACACGTAAAGATGTCATCAACGCGCCGTTCTTTCAAACAGCCAAGATTCTGCTCTCCAGCGCTCTTCTCACTCACAACATTCACAAATCTGCAAAGAAGAGAGAGAGACGAGAATTAGTGACAAATTCCCCATAATTACATCCTGAAGGACAACGGCCCAATTTTAGACGAAGAATTGTGGTGCATTTTTTCCCCCATATCAATATTTACACAGCATTACTTGCGTCACAACGTCCAATGACGCATCTCTTAATAAATCATCATCATCATGAAGTTCAGTGTCAATTGAAGACTTTCTACAACATCTCGCCCGATTTTCTGCTTAACTCCTTTTGGCTCCCGGAGACGTTTTCCTGCCTTCCGGACAGCAAAATCCCTTTGAGTGCGTGCGTGCCTTTGAGGTTAGGCTGATATTTCATAACATCGCGAATTATTTATCACCGTCTCTGCACAAAATGCCCCTTCCGGGAGCGCCTGAAGAGAGCGTGCGAAGTGAAGAGTGGTCGCATTGACGACAAATTTGGTCAATTTCCCGCAGTACTTTTCCCAGCAACGCCACGAGAAGAGTTGCGCGTACATTTGAGAGATATATTTAGAGGCTCTAGAGGAGTGTATTGTACATCGAATTAGCGTGAAATGGAGGAAACTTCCTTCCAGAATAGGAATATCTCGCGTCTCGCGCGTTCTCGAGGCCCAGAAGTGGAGGCCAGAAGGTAGTCGCGATGCGGATCACACACAACATCGAATTTCGTGCGTGAACTCACACATCGCAGGCGGCTGCAGACTGCGCGAGCGAGACGGAAGCACTCTTGAGATACACCTGCCCATGAGTGCGACAGAGACAGAGCCATGTGACGTCTGACTTTCTTGTCCTCTTCTTTCCACTCCACACAACGAAGGTGCAATTCGATCTAATCTAACCTATTTTGCATTGGAGGAAAATTTAAAGGACGCAAATACATTTTCCACCCAATTCCCCGCCAAAATCCACCGGCAATCGCGTGCGGCGCACCCATGGGGCCCCATTGAAGGCAAAGAGGTGCCGAAATGGTGGGAAAACAGGCGAAATATTGCGGAAAAGTGCAGAGAAAATCGCAGACCACCCGAATTGACAATCACCCAACTTTGCATGCGCTACACCATCCTATTTACCCACAATTTCGTGCCACCTACACACCACACGCACGCACGAGTTGTCAATCTCTGGATTGCAAGTGTGCTTTTCGCGTTTTTACCAGAATAAATGGGTAAATTTTTACTTTTTCAATCGCAGCCACAAATCATTCACACCACTGACAAAAGACTTTTATCGCACTGAAGTTGCCCACGAGTGGCGCACCACGGAAATTTCCCACCAACATGGCGGAGGGATATTTTTGCATTTCAAGACTGACACTTTTAACGTGCTTCTGAGAACTTTGCACTGCAATTTAGTCGGGAAAAATTGTATGCAAGAGCAAGACTGGGGTGTTTTTGCAGTCAGAAGCAGCCTGACATTGTTGTAGAAGAAATTCATTGGGTTCTGAAGTCACAGTGAAGGAGAGAATTTAAATTCGCGGTTCTGGAGAAGTCAATAACACTTTAGTATCGCAAAATAAATTTACTATGGCTATTCTCGTGAATTTAAGCAGAAATTCTCTAAGTAATCTCAAAATATTGCAGCAAGTGTGCGCAAAAAGGCTTTTTTGTGTGGCAATCAAATTGCGCGCCATAAAATGTCATTGACACGCGATGTGAGCGCCGCCGGTTTTCTTTCGAAGAAACTCGATTCTCACGGGAGCGTCGCATCAATTACTGCACAAATTTCTGTTGATTTCACGGTGAAAGAGGCGACCAGGCGGTGGAAATCAACATGAGTGTGGAAGATGAAGTGCTGAAGATCCAGAAGAAATTGAGTAAAATGATATCACCCGATGGCACGGTGAGTATTTTGCATTTCTCACACACAACTGACATCTCTCCTCATCCCGGCTTTTCCCAGCCACAATTCCACACGGCAGTTTGCCCGCCATTCGGCACGGGCTGCCACATCTCGAATGCCCTCCGGTATCTATCCTCACGCGAGATAAGTTTCTGGGATACGTGGAGCAGTCCAAAGTCTGCCCACTCGCGAATGCGAGCACCAAACTCACACCTAACCTCAATGAGAATGTTTCCGGAAGAGGAGAGAAGAGCAAAATATTGACTAATGGGAGATTTGTGTGTGGCGCGGATTTTTAGGGACAGGAACAGGCACTGGATCTGCTGAAGACACTCCAGACTCTCAACATAGACTTGGACATCCTGACCAAGACGCGGATAGGCATGACAGTGAATGAGTTGCGGAAGAGCAGCAAGGACGACGAGGTGATCAGTCTGTCCAAGACACTGATAAAGAACTGGAAGCGCTTCCTCGCCGTGACGCCGCAGAGCAAGGAGTCATCGGGCAGCTCCTCCAAGAGCGCCAGCAAGTCCGCCAGCAAGAAGGAGAGCAAGCGCGATGACAAGGAGAAGGATCGCGGACGGATGCAGACGAGTTTTCCCGCCTCCAGCAACTCTATGACTGACGCCATCCGCCTCAAGTGTCGCGAGATGCTGGCCAATGCCCTCAAGACCGACAATGATCCCGAGGTGAGCTCCACGGCGGACGAGCTGGCTGAGGAGCTGGAGGATGCGATCTACAGTGAGTTCAAGAACACAGACATGCGATACAAGAATCGTATACGATCGCGCGTGGCCAATTTGAAGGATCCGAAGAATCCCACGCTGCGGACAAACTTCCTCGGCGGTGCCATTCTGGCCGTGAAGCTGGCCAAGATGACGCCCGAGGAGATGGCCAGCGATGAGATGAAGAAGCTGCGCGAGCGCTTCGTCAAGGAGGCCATCAATGACGCCCAGCTGGCCACTGTTCAGGGCACCAAAACCGATCTCCTCAAGTGCGGCAAGTGCAAGAAGCGCAACTGTACCTACAATCAGATTCAGACACGAAGTGCTGACGAACCTATGACTACTTTTGTGCTCTGCAACGAGTGCGGACACCGCTGGAAGTTCTGCTAAATCTCACAGCTGAGCATTTCCCTCTCCGCGACAGCCGCGCGCAGGGCGAGACTGGCCAGTGGCAGTTCTTCTTAGATCAGAGAGACAACACATATTCAAGGAGCAACATTCTTTTCCGAAATCTTCTAGAGATGCGTTATCACGACACAGATGAATTCACTCTACTTCTCACTTTGATTTCCTCCTCCTCTGCTCGCCCCTTTCCCGCGCATACATGATTGATGTGTAATGAGAATTATGTTTTTGTACCATGTACATGTGAATTGAGACAAAAAAAAAATGTATTCAAAATGATTAGAGAAATATGAATATGAAGAAAATTCACAATAAAGATTTTTGGTGACCACAATTTGCAATTATTCATTTCCACCGCGCGCGCGCGACCTCTAATCGCGCCCCACAAAAGCGGGAGAGACCAGAGAAAAATGGTTCCAAGGACTGGCGACGATCCTCCTCAAGAAAGCACAAACATGCACGACAAACAGTGACGAAAGCAGAAAAAAAAATGCGCAGAGAGAGAAAAAAGATCAATAATTGCATATATAAACTTGTGTAAATATTTCTCCTTGACACATGCGATTGAGTGATTTCCTCTTCTGTGCTTTTTTCACAACAAAGCGCCCGTGCAAGAGATCTCTTTCCCACTCTTTCTCACAACACTGGATCATCTCACAGATCCACAAATTGCTGTTAGGGCGGCCGATTGTCTCTCTGCGCCAATCCCAGCCATTGTGTAATCATTCGAGAAAGTTGGAGCTCAGCTGGAGTGACATCAAGTGAGGATTAAGGCGAGCTTTGAGAGCTTTTTTCGCATTGGCAAATATTTCTATCTCCTCATTGTGGTCTTATTAGAAACGTGTTCACTTGGTTTATGCGCAAAAAGTGATCAAAAATCGATGAAAAATGAACTCTTTTGATCTTTTTCGGTAATTTTTGGAAAACTCTTTATCTCTTCAACAATTTCAACTACTAAAGAAATTCTGAGATTTGTATTTTTTGTGGCAAAAGTAAGAAATTCTTTTCATGCTTTGTGGCGTTAAACTGAAATGTTGACTATTAATCGTCTTCAAATTGCAGACAAATGCATAAAGCAACACTTTAATGAACATAATAAATGTAGCTTTTGGGATTTTTCTAAAATATTATTAGACTTTGAATCAAATTTCATGATTATTTGCCATATTTTTGAATTTTTTCACTCGAAAACTTGGATGAAAAATTCATTTAAAATACGAAAAGGTCATTTTTAGAACCTTTTTGAATAAAATGCACTCGATAACTGTTAAAAATCAACTTTAAAAAATTCCTTTCTCAGTTTTTCAATTATCTTTGCTATATTTTAGTAGGAAATTTCAAAAAATACCAATAAAATCAACTGAAACATTCTGAAAATAGCAATTTAAGGAGATTTTGGCAAATTTCTCAGCAATATTACTGCTAAATTTTCAATTTGCTCTCCTGAAAAAAGGACGATTTTGACTTTTCCCAGTTTTGGATTGAAAAACTGGCCTCTAAAACCGTCTAGAGACACTCAAAGTCACTCCCCAGAAATCCCACCTCGCGTGAGCCCATCCGAGCTTCGCCCTACCATTTCACTCCCATTGAATTTGCGATCCGATAGCGATTTGATGTAGGAGCTGAGCTGCCCCACTCTCAGTGTCGCCCAGTGTGACGGTCAGAAGAAAAGCCGAGCTCGCATCGCCTCCAGCCACACTGTCCGTTGAGAGTTCGATCAGAGAGGATCAATCTACAACAGGTGAGTCGCTCCCTTTCCGCCCACTTGCGCAAGCATCGAGAGTGAGAAGTGCGCGCGAGGATTTTGGCGCAGCTTGAGAATGCAAATTTCGCGTCCCTGGACGTGATCTTTCACCTTCCCAGCGGAAATTGCGAAAGTGTTTTGGCTTTGTGAAAACATCTGTGTGAATTTAATTACCGCCTTCGACTCGGCGCTTAATTGCCTAAGCGGTGTTGGAATCCCATATGTTCCTTTAGCACAATTAGGCGCATTTCTCGGGTGAGAGCAAGTGAAAGTTATCCCAGAGTGGGAAGCCCAGGGAGAAAAAAGCGGAAAACCTTGGGATCGTCCGAATGGCAAATCAATTGTGTGTGATTTCAGCTGAATCATCCTGGGTTGGAGGGAGAGAAAAAAAACTGTCCGGGAATAATGCCTAATTGATCATGGCAATTGTGGTCAAGATCGACAAGATGTGCGTGAGGCGGCAAAAAAGCGGAGTTCTGCCAGGTGTTCTGGGCAAAAAGTGGTCGCTCTTGAGATGGTTCTGGGAATAAGGCGAGCCTCGTGAGATTAGTGGCCTCTTGGGATTTGGGATCTGGGCCGCGCTCAGCTCGCATTGATCTTCTCTCTTGGCCACTGGAACAGGCAAAACGAGTTTTGCGCGGGAAAAGTCCATGAATTGCACAATAGTCACAGATATTATACAGCTGAGAGACAGAGAGAGAAGCAAAGAGACACAGAAAATCACTCTCGATCGCTATTTGCATAATTTTTTTCCTCACCAGAGAGACAATCTGTCTTGTTTGCCCACCTTAGGATGGCTTTCCGTTGCATCATCTTCTTCGTGGCCGTCGCCCTGCCCCTCGCCTGGGCCAACTCCGCCGGCGCCCCCAATGACGCCTGCAAGGACCTCGTGCCGCAGCACCACGTGGACCCGCAGTCCTCCACGCCGCCCTACAGCTATGTGCTGCCCAAGAAGCGCACCGTGTCGCCCGGAGAGTCCGTGGCGGTGACTGTGCGCGGCAACAGCGACAACGACACCATCAAGGGCTTCCTGGTGCAGGCGCGCCCCGTCGGCAAGTCCCAGTCCGTGGGCAGCTTCGCCCCGCTGCCAGGACATCCCCTGCAGGGACTCAACTGCGGAAGTGCAGACGTGAGTATCCTCCGAGAGCGCAGCCTTGGCGCGCTGATGCAAAATATCCAAACGCCTTTCACTCGCCATGGTCGCGTGTTTGCTAATGCGCCACTCTCTTCCAGAATGCACTGACCCACACGAAGATTGAGAACAGCGTGAAGGAGGTGAGCTTCAAGTACACCGTCCCGCAGAACGCCCAGAAGGGACAGAAGTTCAACTTCCTCTCCACCGTGGCTCTCAATGGGGGTGTCTTCTGGGTGCGCGTGCCCTCGGAGGTCTTCACTGTCGCCTAAGAACCCCATGAGGCTCTCCCGACTCACGTTTTGTTACCAATCAGCACAATTTTAGCGCAAATAAAGTGTAGTGTCCTTTTCTATCAACACAACGAACAAAAATGGAGGTTTTATGATCCCTTTTCGCAAATTCTCTAATTATTTAACTTTCTTCGCTTTTCTTCTTGCACCTGCTGCGGTAGAAAATATTCTTTGTGTACTTTTTATTTACCAATTTCATATGCACGCGTTGGTGCACGGTAAAAACTCGTTACAATTTTAATTTTCACTCCGAAAATAGTTCATAGAATAGCCACTGCTGTCGCTACCGGTGTTATTTTTATTCGGACCGCAGAGGAAAATCAAAACACGGGGAATTCCTAGAAAATTCGTGAATAAAAGCTGAAAAGGAAGCAATTTTACACATATTTCATACACTTGTGGCGAAATCACTTCATCTTCTCGCAAGTTTATCATTCTCAGGACATGTATCGCAACCGCATTTCGGCTATGTTCTGCTGTTAAGAAAACATGCGCACGTGGTCGCAGCTGTTGGGCATTCAAACTCCCTCTGCATGTTCGAAAAATGTCGAAAACGGAATTGCGAAAGTGAGGAGAGAATTGCGGCCAACTTCATCGTGATCTGTCATATTGATTGTGTGGTGTTGGGAGAGGAAAGATGGTGTTAAATTTTCAGTGAAAATAAGTGGGAAAAGTGCAGAAGATGCCTGAAAATCGCCGCGAGTGAGTAGCCGAAGAGTGTGGTGTGCAATTTAGGCAGCGACTGGCAATTTCCCGCGCGAGCGCGAGTGGTTTTGGGCGTGCTGAAAGTTGGGGAGTGAGACACGGCCATCAAGATGGGTGACTGGGAGCCCCTTGCGGAAATCTACCTTTCACACCCTCTCGCAAAGGACAAGGAAAACTACACCTTCTGCCTCTGCAGTCGCGTCTTCATCAAGTGAGTGTCCCGCAAGGGAGAGTTTCTCCGCCCTTTGGCGTGTGTGATTGATTGACGGTGTTTGTCTTGTCAATTGCAGAAATTACCAGGAATTCGGATCGACGCTGGACAAGGAGGAAGTCAGCGAGGGCGACGATGTCTTCAATGAGGATCTCAATGCTCACGTGCACTTCTCCCAGGACACGCCCAAGTCCAGCACGAAGAACAGCCAGGACGACCAGGACGCGGACGCCAATTCCTGCTATCACAGCGCCAGCGCCTCCCACACGGACAACTACTGCAGCACGGATGAGCACGAGCACGTCCTGACCACGGCCAACGTGGGCCTGCACTCGTCCGACAGCGGCGCCGACCTGTCCGAGTACTACTTCGAGCGCATCAAGTCCACGCCGCGCACCACAGAGACCATCCCCATCCAGAAGACGACGCCCCACGAGCCGGAGGCGGCGCAGAGCGAGCGCAGCTCGCTGCCGGACGTGTTCGGCACGGAGGAGCTGAACGACTCGTGGGAGAAGTTCTGGGCGGCCAACGGGGAGCGCCTGATCTGGGCGTCGTGGATTGAGAAGTACAGCGACTACATCAATCCCGAGTACAAGGACATCATGCTGCCCAACCCGGACGAGGCGGGCAAGTTCGCCTTCGATCGCATGGAGGACGAGGAGGAGATCGGCAACGTCACCGGCACGCAGATCGTCATATCAGCCTGCTCGCAGGCCACGGACGAGCCGGAGGGCGGCTCGCGCCAGATGGAGGAGGGCTGGAATCCGCTGTCGCCCACGAGCGTCGACGACACGTGGAACACGTACAGGGCCACGGACAAGGAGGCGGACAACCTGCTCAGTCCGCGCTGCGAGAGCGTCACTTCCAGCATCCCGCTGACCGTCGGCACCACGGACTCCATGACCAACGTCACGCGGATGACCATCTCCAGCTACGACTTCTGCAGCAGCCGCGTCAGCTCCGAGAGCTCGCGGCAATCCGACGGCGCCAGCTCGCCGGGCGACGACAGCGACGCCGTGTCCTCCGAGACGTCCTCGTCGCAGTTCTACGACACGGCCATCGACCGCGGGGACAAATCCCAGGTGAGGAATCCCAAATTGCCTCAAGATTCAGGCGAATATCGCACGGAAAGTTGACTAAAGCGGCTGGAATTCAATTAGAAGCTAAATTCTTAAGTATTTCAGGTTGATTTAGTAGGGAAAAAGGCTAAATAAATTCAAAGTCAGCAGAATAATCGATTGAAATCGATTTTAAGGTTAATTCAAGGGTTGCTCAAGAGAAGAATAGACGAACCACTTCACCAGGAATGTCAAGGAATGGAGGAATGGACGGGAATTTAGGAAAAATGGGACAAAATTGCTTTTCTTTTTCCAAGTTTATTCCCTAACATTCTTTTTGACGCTTTAATATCCTTTCTTGAGCTTGAAACTTCTCAAAAGAACTCTTTTTAATAGAGCTAAAAATGTCACTTTTGTACATTCGCGCACGCAATGACTTCCTAGCGTGATTCTAGCCAGGAAAGAGAGGAATTTGAGCGCGAAAAGAAAGAAAGCAGAGGGTTTTAGGCAAAAATTGAGGGATAAATGCTAATAAAAAGCGATAAAGTGAAGAAAAATACACGAAAAAGGAAAGAGAAGTAAGAAAAAATTGTGAAAAAAACGCAACTGCGTGAGAATCGAACCCGCGACTTCTCGATTTTGTTCTAAAATCTCGATTTCGAATATAATTTTTCAAAGAATGAATTGAAATTTGATTTTTGACAGCGAAATCTTAGGACTGAATTATGGAATATAAGGAAATTTGAGGAATGGAAACAAATTTTCTCTAACGGTTAAATTCTTTTCATGCTTCTCGTCGATCAGAGGCAAAAATCGACACTGATTAAGTGAAAAAATCCATAGAAAATTCAGATTAGGACAGAAATTGATCCAAAATTGAATTACTCAATCTGAGAAACACAATTTTTCTTCAAGATTGACTCACTTTGAAAGTTAATTATTGTGCAATTCAGAGAACAAAACATTGATTTGAGGTCTTAAATGGAAGTTTAATTCCAGTTATTAATCGATCAAAGAGCAATTATTCACTCATCAGCGTTTGCCACTCTTTCAGGTCACTGACGACTCGACGATGGACGTGGACAGCTACTGGCAGATCCTGTGGCAGAAGCACTTCCAGGAGCAGTACGCCAAGCACTACAATCTCTTCATGGAGGAGAAGCGCGGCGAGGAGGAGAAGTCCCACCGTTGGAATCTCAGTTGCAGTTTGTCGGCTGAGAAGCGGCACTTTCGCCAGGGCGAAGACGCCGCGGCGGCGCAGCCGAAGATGGGGAAGCGGAAGCGCGGCAAGCGCCAGGAGCACGAGAATCTGCCGGGCTTGGTGGCGAATCTGAAGATCAACCGGGCGACGGGAGGCGAGGAAGCGGGCTGCTCGAGTGGCGCCGCCGCCGCCGCTGAGGCTGCTTCGTCCAGTGACATGGCGGCCATGGGATTGCCGACGGCGTTTGGCAAGGCGAAGGCGGCGCGCGGCGGCGGCGCGGGCGATGGCAAGAAGCCGCCGAATGAGCGCAGCACGAATCTGAAGCGCAGCCACGAGAGTGATCCGGAGGAGTCGAATGTGGATCGCATCAAGGCCGCCTTCAGTCTCATGGGCTACGCTTTCGAGGACACGCAGAGCAATCCGGACAGCGCGGGCAACATCAACATGAACGGCGAGGTGGTTTATCGCAAGAAGCACATCAGGCTGCACAACAGGGCGCTGAAGATGAAGATGACAATGCGTCCGAAGCACATCTACTTCGACGACGAGGGCAATCAGGTGCCCAGCGTCACGCAGCATCCGCCGGAGGCGCCCGTGACGCTGCACTCGTCCTCGGACGACGATTCCCACACGGCCGCCATCATTCCGCCGCGCCAGATGCCCGCCGCGGCGACGGTGAAGAGCACGGAGTCCCCGGACGAGCCGGAGCAGCGCATGGAGCCGGACGCCGAGGCGCCGGCGAAGAAGGAGAAGAAGAAGAAGCGCAAGAGCAAGATTGCCGCCGGACTGCCGGCGGAGATTATCAACGACAAGTCGCTGCTCAAGTACTGGTTCAAGCGCTTCTCGCTCTTCTCGCAGTTCGACATGGGCGTCAAGATGGACAGAGGTGAGTGTCAATTGTCCCTTCCGTGCCGTCTTCACTGCTAAAGTTTGCTGGCTTCTTTGCAGAGAGTTGGTTCTCAGTGACGCCGGAGAAAGTCGCGGCGCACATCGCCGAGCGCTGTCGCTGCGATCTGATTGTGGACGGCTTCTGTGGCGTCGGCGGAAACACCATTCAATTCGCCATGACATGCTTGAAAGGTGAGAATTATAGAGCAATTCCTTAACCGCTCTTAAGAAAAGTATGAATATTCATAAAAAGGTGTTGCAAGATTTATGATTCATAACATTTACTAATCTCCGGAAATTAACTTCACTTCGTATTTTTCACGTAAAAATCAAAGAAATGGACAGAAATTCATGTCTTTATGTTTGATTAGCAAGGATTAATTGAATTTTTTTGGTCTTTTGTGAAGATTTCAATGCATCAGATTGATGTTATGTGTTTCCGGACATCCTTAGAGCTTTTCCGAGGAATTTTATGGATTCGCCAAAGCGTTTTTACCATTTTTAAGTGCGTAAAAAGCTATGTTTTCATTCAATTTATTGCTCACGTGTGTAAAAATGCGAATGTGCTAAAATGACACTGGAAAGACATCTTCCCGGACAATCTGGTTAGCAATCAATGACAGGAAGATATCTTGTCACGGAGATTCACTATTTCGTCCTGTTAAATTCATTCCTGGAAGTTCTTTGAGATTATTTCCAGGGAAATACAGAAAAATGCGCTTTTCTCTTAAACTGAAGAACATTTTCTTATCTTTCACGTGAAGGAAAATGGCCAGAAATTACTTTCCGACAGCTGAAATTCGTATTAAATAAATTCTTAACTTTGCATTTCATCATTATTTCGTTCGCATTTCATTCGAACTTTACACTAGCGCCGCGGGCGGTCGCCTATATAAGCTATGAAAATGGTAAAGTTGCAACACCAAATTGGTAACTTTTACGAACTGAAATACGACAAATTTGTAAAGTTGCAACGACCGAAATGAAGATTTTTTTTTCATGATTTATGGAGGAAAAAGGACACTTTTTGACCAATTATTGTCCAACTGTTTTTCCTGAAAGTGTCTAAAGCCCAGCGAATTGATGACTAATCGAGGCGCCTTTCTTTGCAGTGATTGCGATTGATATTGATCCCAAGAAGATTGAGATGGCGAAGCACAATGCGACGGTTTATGGCGTTCGGGATCGCATTGAGTTCATCGTGGGAGATTTCACCAATCTGGCGGACACTCTGAAGGCAGACGTGGTGTTCCTGAGTCCTCCTTGGGGAGGTCCAGAGTATTCCAAGGTGAGTTTTGAGCTTGTCCTTAAACCCTTTGGCTGCAAACTGACTCAGTTTTCTCTTTGCGCCAGGAGGAAACTTACGATCTCGAGAAGTCTCTCATTCCGTTATCAGCAACAGAATTGTTTGCCAAGAGCCAGAAAATCACTGAGAACATCGCAATGTTCCTGCCCAGGAATTCCAACACTCAGCAGGTGAGTTCTTATGGCTTTTCCGCTATAAAAACAGGTTTTAATCCCTGATTTCTTGGCACAGCTTTCCGTTCTCGCTGGCCCTGGAGGAGCCGTGGAAATTGAGCAGAATTTCCTGGATCGCAAATTCATTGCACTGACTGCATATTATGGAGAACTTATAAACGAATAGAGAAAGAGGAAGAAGAAGGAGAGGAACATTCAAAGACACAATTTTGCGTTAATAAGTTATATAAAGAAAAGGTGAAGAAATGAATAGGAAAAATGTCTTATTTTCCGACAAAAGCTAGATGAATTTTTTGAGGAATCCACAGGATTATCGAGCATTCAACGGAGTTGTGAATCGATATCAATCCCCTTATTTCTTACATGTTGTCAAAGGATTTTATGTAAATTTTATTTAATAAATTTCTTACAATTTTTTGCGAGAGAAAAGCAGTTTTCCGGAAGGATGAAAGTGAAAAACACTGACTTACACGTTTAGCATGGAATTTATTGAATAATCGCTTCCTAATCCCTCATCTCGCCCTCCTCGTCCTCGTCATCGATGCCACGGATGTACAGGACGTTGTTGCAGCGGATCAGCACCTCGCCGAGGTTTCCTGGAAGCCCGGGAAGACGGGGAAATTAGAGCCCGATTCAAAAGTGCCGGGAAAGTGAGTTTCTCACCTGTGTTTTGGCCGTCTATGTGCTCTTCCGTGTTGGCCAGCTGGAGATTCATGTAGCTGTCCACGGAGACGAGGTAGCCCTTGTACTCGTGGCCCCACTTCAGCTTCACCATCACTGCCTTCCCGGTCAGGCTGTTCAGGAAGGGTTTTGGGTTGATTGGCATTGCCGCCGACATTGTGAGGCTCTGTTAGTCGCTGTTTCCTGCAAAGAGGGACAAAATCCGTCAATTCCGCACCACTTGGGGGGTGAAAGTGCAGGAAAACTCACGGAAAAGTGAAGAAAAAAGCCCACCAAACGGATTGTTTACGTTTCTCACGCGTCACTCCGGGGAAGTGTGAGGTTAGGTTGTTCCGGGTGGACGAAAACAGACGAAAACTGAACGAAGATTCGTTGAGTGGGTGGAAGAATTTTTCATTGACGCACAGAGCGTGTTTATCCCAGTGATTTTCCCTGCACAGTGGCGAAGAAAATACGTAAAATCATGAACGTAATAGCGGCGATAAAGCTGTACATCAATAAGATGGCCAATGAGTCTGGGCCGGGGATGAAAATCCTGCTGATGGACAAGGAAACGGTGAGCAGATTGCGGCGGAATCCAATGGGCGAAAGCACTAATTGAATTTTGCTTTATCGCCCCACAAAAACAGACCAGCATCGTGTCAATGGCCTTTAGTCAGTCCGATATGCTGCAGAAGGATGTCTTCCTGTTCGAGAGGATCGACTGCCCGCGCTCCAATGAGCGCATGAAGCATCTCAAGTGCATTGTCTTCCTCAGGCCGAACAAGAACAACATTTCTCTGCTCTCGCATGAGTTGCGGAGCCCCAAATACGGCTCCTACTACGTCTGTGAGTGTCTGGGGAGGATTGAGAAGCGCCCAGGAGAGGCTGACTTGTCTCTCTCTTGTAGATTTCAGCAACATCATTCCGCGCACGGACATCAAACTCCTGGCCGAGAGCGACGAGAGCGAATCTGTGCGGGAAGTGAAGGAGATTTACGCTGATTATCTCTCCGTGAACGACAATCTCTTCTCCCTCAGTCTGCCCACTTGCATGCACGCGCTGAACTGGACGCCGGAAGCGCTGGCGCGCAGCGTCGAGGGCGTCACGGCGGTGCTGCTGTCGCTCAAGATGAAGCCCGTGATTCGCTTCCGCGCCGGCAGCAATGTGGCTCAGGCGCTGGCGAAGCAGGTGAACGAGAAGATCTCCAAGGAATCCGCGCTGTTTGAGTTCCGCGTGCAGGAATCCGGCGCGCCGCCGCCACTGCTGCTGATCCTGGACCGTCGGGACGATCCGGTGACGCCGCTGCTGAACCAGTGGACTTACCAGGCGATGGTGCACGAGTTGCTGGGCATCAACAACAACCGCGTGGATCTCTCGGGCATCAGCGGAGCGCCCAAGGACATGAAGGAGGTCGTGATGTCCGTGGATCAGGATGAATTCTACGCGAATGTACAGTTTTTTAGCCTCCCACTGAATTCCCTCCCATTTTGACTGATCGGTCGTTTTCTCTTTGCAGAACATGTACGCGAACTTCGGCGAGATCGGCACGACCATCAAGGGCCTCATGGATGAGTTCCAGAAGAAGGCGAAGGACCAGAAGAAGGTGGAGAGCATTGCCGACATGAAGAACTTCGTGGAGACTTATCCGCAGTTCCGGAAGATGTGCGGAACCGTGACGAAGCACGTCGTGGTGATCGGCGAGCTGTCGAATCAGGTGGCGAAGAATCTGCTGCTGGAAGTGTCAGAGCTTGAGCAGGAGATCGCCTGTCGCGCTGATCACTCAGCGCAGCTGCAGCGGGTGAAGCGACTGATTGGCGACGGGAAGGCGAGTCTGAAGGACGCGCTGCGGCTGATCCTGCTGTACGCGCTGCGCTACGAGCGCCACGCCAACTGCGACATCACTGGATTGCTGCAGACGCTGAAGAGTCGCGGCGGCGCGGCGCACATCGTGCCCAGGATGCTGGAGTACGCCGGCCAGCACGCGCGCCAGGGCGATCTGTTCAGCACGGTGAAGATCACGGACGCCGTGAAGCTGACCAGGAGTCTGATCAAGGGCCTGAAGGGCGTGGAGAATGTCTTCACGCAGCACTCGTGCCTGCTCAAGGAGACGCTCGAGGATGTGATCCGCGGACGGCCGCTGGACCCTCTCTATCCCTCCATCGGCTCCGAGCTGCCCTTCCGCCGGCCGCCGCAGCACGTCGTGGTGTTCATCGTGGGCGGCGCCACGTACGAGGAGGCGCAGGCCGTGTTCCAGCTCAACGCCGCCGGCCAGAGGATCATCCTCGGCGGCACAACCATTCACAACTCCGACTCCTTCTGCCGCGAAGTCGCCGCCGCCACGGCCGGCGTCCCTTTCAAGCACACGCGCTCGCTTCAGCAGTTTCACGCCACGGACAACGCCTAAGATCGCCGGGCGCCGGCGCAATTCCACTTCATCCACGCTGTTCAGCCTCAATGTGATATGTGTTGTAGAGTATCTTTTATTATTTAATCCCTTCGAACAACAAATACAAGATTATCTGAGACTTCTGCCTTTGCTTTTAACCGCCATTAATTTGAAAATTAATTAGAGACTCAGCCAAGGGGGAGATAACAGTCAGAAGTGGTGTATAGATATCTGCGGAGGTCTTCAGAAGTGGAAATGTTCAAAAGCTTGCAGTATTTCATTCTTTAGTGCTTCTTTTACTGCCAAATTATCCAAGTTTTATGGATTTCTCTTGATTTTTTACGTAGAAATAATCAGAACAATCATTTTCTAGGTTATGTAATGAATCAAGGACAGATTTAGCGAAATGACTCGTCCAAGCATTTACATGCAATAAACATCGCTATTCTGGAAACTTTTAAGCCAAGAAACACTAAAAATTGTATTCAAATGGAACATAACCTCTAAAATCGTCATTTGAAGCTGAAAAATGCTCATTTTGAAACTTTTTTCGATGATTTTGACATTGAATCAGCTATTTTGAGTTCATTGGCAAATCATAAGAGATGATTTCGTGATCTTGAGAGCTTCCAAACACAGGTTTTGAAGATCTCTTGATGATATTTTGAGGTTATAGTCGAAAAAGATCCCTTAAACAAGCGGTTTTACGTCGATTTTTGTAGAAATATCGAATGGAAACTTAAGGGATTTATTCTAATTCGAGAATTTGTGTGCAATCTAAGGAATTTGAATTGCTGGAAGTGTTAAGAAGTGGTGTACAGCTTTAAGGTATATTACTGCCCCTTGGATTTGATTTAGATTTCATGGAAAGAGGCTCAAATGCGGATTTTAAAGCATTTTGAATTCTCTTTGATTGCAATATCGCACTTGCAGTGCAATAATTTATCTCTAATGATAAGAACAGCTCTTAAGCACTACTTTCAATTTCAAACTTCTCCTAAAAGTCTCATAAATCAAGGGGTTAATAAATTCTGCACTGAAATCTCTGAGTCAACATCGACTTGCAGTTCTTCAACTGCTGATGAATTGTAGCAAATTGAGGGGCGAATAACACACTTTTCTCCACAAAAACTCCTCATTTATTAGCCCTGATTCTTCAACATTCGCGACATTCACTCAAAGACGATTCCCTGCGCCAGCGGCATCTCGGACGAGTGGTTGAGCGTGATCGTGGCTCTCTTGCAGTATTGCTTCCACGCGTCCGAGCCGGACTCGCGGCCGCCGCCGGTGTGCTTCTCGCCGCCGAACGCGCCGCCGATCTCTGCGCCCGAGGGCGATGTGTTGACATTCACCAGGCCGCAGTCCGAGCCGTGGTTGCCGATCCACTGGAAGATGTTGCCGACGTCGCGCGTGAAGAGCGCCGACGACAGTCCCTGATCCACTTCGTTGTTCCACTCGATCGCCTGGTCCAGATCCTTCGCCTTCAGCACGTACACGATGGGCGCGAAGCACTCGGACTTCACCACCGGCGAGTCGTGCGGCAGATTCGTGACGATCGTGGGCTCCACGAAGAATCCCGGCCTGTCCATCCGCTTGCCGCCGGTGAGAATGACGCCGCCCTGCTTCTTGGCCGCCTCCACTGTGTTCAGATAGTTGTCCACCGCCTGCTGGTTGTGCAGCGGTCCGTACAGCGTCTTCTCGTCCAGCGGATGACCGACTCTCTTGGACAACTGCAAGAGAAAGTGAGCAAGTGAGATTCTGTCCAGCAACGCTGGAATTCCTTCCCACTCACGTTGTCGTATCGCGTCTTCAGCTTGGCCAGGAACTCGTCGTGGATCTTCTCGTGCAGGATGAGTCGTCTGGTGGTCGTGCAGCGCTGCCCGGCCGTGCCGATGCAGCCGAAGAAGGCGGCGTCGAGAGCCATGCCGAAGTTGGCGTCATCGTTAATCACCAGCGCATTATTCCCGCCCAATTCCAGCAGCAGTTTGCCGAAGCGCCGCTGCACCTCGACGCCCACCTTCTGGCCCACGGCGGAGCTGCCCGTGAAGGAGACCAGCTTCACGCGGTCGTCCTTCACCAGGACGTCGCCCACGTCGGCGCCGCCCTGGCACAGCGTCGCCACCGGCGGCAGATTGTTGCGCTTGAACACGTCCGCGAAGATCTTCGCCGTCGCCACGGACACGAGCGACGTCGACGGCGCGCCCTTCCACAGCACCGAGTTGCCCACGGCCAGCGCGATGGCGGCGTTCCAGCCGTAGACGGCGCACGGGAAGTTGAAGGCCGAGATCACGCCGATGCAGCCCAGCGGCCGCCACTTCTCCAGGATCACGTGCTGGCTTCGCTCCGACGGCAGAACCTGCGGAGGCGGCAAAATTTCCACTCAGAACCATCGGATTGCCGCGATAAGAGCATCATTCGCCGCTCTTCACTGATAAGAATCCGCGAGGGGTTAACAACTGCCGATCTTTTGCCACTTTATTTGATAAAAATCTACTTGAAGCACGAGAAATCGGCAAAAATGAAGACAGAAAAAGGCTGACGAGAAATCTAAGCTTGAGAACGACTGTCTCTCGAGTTCTCTTCGGACTAATGCTGCAGCGGGGATCAAGTTGAGAGGAGAAGGTTCAACCTTCGAGTAGGCGGATTAACGTTTGCCAGCTAGTGATGGGAATTCTGACTACATAAGTTACTTTACGCTGTATTTATTACTTTCTAAAGGCTTTCAGGGTGTATGAATTCACGTTAAATATTCTAGGTTTTCGATAAGAAACCTTTAAAGCCAATTGGGACAGATTTGTCTAATTAATAGTCCCGAAAGATGAGTTTTATCGGGTAAAAAGCACAATTTAGTATTCAAAGTAGTTAGAATTGCGCTTAAACAGCAAAATTCTAGCAGTTCGAGTAGTTTCATTGCTAAATTCAGGTAAGATTCCAATCAAAAAGTCCAAATCTGCAGAAGCTCTTATAAGAACGCTACTAGAAACTTGTCAGAAGTATTTAATGCATAGATTATTGGTGTCTGAAGTGGGATTAGAATCCAATATGATCAAAATTGACAACTTAGAATGTTCTTCTCTTGTAAGAAATGCTTTACAGAAGACAAATGAAGATTTTGGTAGAAGAAAATCACATAAAACCAAGCTCAAAACATGATTAATTCACGGTTGAAGGATTTTTAAGCAAAAACTGCGCACGACAGACAATCTAGTGGGGCTTTTGGCTCTTGAAGCTTCCGAAAAATGTGAGTAAATTTCTTAACCTCAGCCATAAAATGACAATTTATTCCCCGACGGAAATAGCAGGAAAATTCGTAGTTCTTATAAGAAATTTACGGATCTGTTAATGGCGCGAAAGTCAAGATTTCACTCAGAAAGACAGTTCTTCGCCCCTCGATTATTACATAACGGCAATCAAAGCAATCTGATCCTTTCGTCCTCACCTGTCCGGCGAACATGCGCGACAGTCCGACGGCGTAGTCGCAGATGTCGATGACTTCCTGCACCTCGCCGACGCCCTCGCCCTGGATCTTGCCCATCTCCAGCGACACGAGCTTCCCGAGAGGCTCGCGGAACTTGCGCAGCTCGTCGCCGATCTGGCGCACGATCTCGCCGCGGAACGGCGCCGGCAGGCGGCTCCACTCCTTGTACACCTCATCCGCCGTCCGGATGCACTCACGCATCTCCTCCACGGTTCCCGTGCGCACCTCGGCGATCACGCGTCCGCTGGCGGGATCCACGGACTTCACGACGGGCCCAGAGCCCATCCACGAGCCGCTGTACACGCCGGCGTTCTCACGCTGCAGCCCGAGATCGCGCAGGAAGGCGAACTTGGGATCGTCGACGAGATAAGTGGAGGAAGACATGGTGCGGATGAGCTGGATTCTCTTCGACGTGGCCAAGAGAGTGCGTGTCACGAGCAGAGACATTTGACTGGTGGAAAAATTCCCCTCTCGAGCCTAGTTATCAAGAGCTGATAAGATGCCGCGCGCCGATCGTCAGCTCGCCGAGCGATATTGGCCAAAACTGGCCCTCAAACGCCCGCTCGTGCGCCAACGGAGTGCCGGGAGAGGCGCTCAATTGGCCATCAGTGCTGATAAAGCGCTTCGGGCGCTCTCGGCCGGCTGTTTGTCTCCGGCAATTGGACAACAACACCGCAAGCGAAGAGACTCAATTGACTCTCTTGGGGATTAGAGAGAGATTGATAAGGAATCTCGGCGCAAAAACACATGCAACGACTGCGATTACAGGCAATCTGAGAGTGCCTGGAAACAGATGCTCTCTTCCAGACACACTTCCAAGCGTGTTTCTGGGACAAGGTCATCGGCAGATGAGTGCGAATTGACGTGAAATCCGTGAAATCTTCCAGACAAAACTCCATTTATACTCATAACAATCATAGTTGTGTCTCTTACGCTATACAAATTATTAATTTACTGCTCTTGTTTACTCACGCGCCGCTGATCCCGAAGCGCCAGAAGTCCACGTCGATGTCCAGGGACTTCTTCTTGTGGAATTTGTACGCGGCATCGAGATTGTATCTCAGCTGCGCCACAATTTTCGCCTCTGTGCCGAGCTGAGCGCCAGTCTTGCGGATGAAATCACGCGTGGAGGTCTTGTGGAGCGAGTAGACGGCTGTGTTGGCCAGCTGAATGCCCACTTCCAGGAACTTCACGTCCATTCCGGCATTCTTCTTGGTCCCAAACGGCGGATTCATCACGACTGTGTCGAAAGCCTTGGCGAAGCGTGAATTCTGCACATTTCTCGTGATGTCACTCAGCACACAGTCCACAGACGGGATCTCCATGTCACCGACATTCTCCAGGAAGACACTGGCGGCGTCCGGATCCACCTCGAAGCCAACTGTGTGCTCGGCGCCGAGGAGAAAAGCACCAATGCTCAGCATTCCCGAGCCAGAGCCCAAATCCGCCACGATTTTGCCCTCCAAATCGCCAAACTGGCTCTGAATCTCATACAACATGCAACTGGCGATGTGCGGCGGCGTCTGGTATTGCTCCAGGAGGATCTTCGGCTCGTCAAACGCCTCCACGCCCTGCAGAAACTCCTCCAACTTCTTCAGCTTCAGCCGCGCCATTCGCGCACACAAACACACACACAACTCAACACAGCGGACAGGGAAGTTGCTGGGGATCTACTTGAGCGGCGCCTCGAAGCGCGGCAAGACGGGAATGATGCTGTTCCCGAAGGCGGAATCCTGAGGAACGAAGAAACCGAAGGATTGCGTGTGCGCCTGATTCCACGCCGCTCTGGCCGGTGCATTCAGGATGACATCAGTGGGTGGTTGGCTCATTTGCAAGTACTACAAAGAAAAGCATTAAATTCGACTTCATTCTGCCGGAAAAGCCACGGAAAAATCAACCTGAGGCAATCCAAGAGTCGAATTGTTCGTGGGAACGCTGGGAATTGATGTCACGACGGGTGACACGCCTTTCTGGAGCAGTTGCTTCTTTATCTGCAGATCCTCGAGGATTTTGCGATTGTTCAATTCTGCAGAGACCGGAAAAACAAGCGTTTTTCATCGTGAGCAATCATAATATTTACATTGACATAACCTCAATGGGAAATGTCAATCGGAGAGAGTGAGAAAATCACCTTGTTGGGCATTCAGCGCTGGAAAAGCCATCAAAATCACTTTGCTACCGCCTCAGGAGTTCAATTTGCAGGTTTTTGTCGCGAAATTGTGTCTATTTGATGGATAAAAATGCGGAAATACACGATTTTAGCGCTCTTCCTCAACACACTCCATTGTCGACAAAGGCCATGATGTCACTGCTGCCAACTGTGCGATAATAAAAGCCCCTCAAATTCAAACAATTTAGGTCGTTGACGGGTTTCCTGCGAATGAATTACAGCCAACTTCAGGTGTATTTTGTTTGGGGAAAATGTCAACATCGTTCACGGATGCATTCAAGATTTACAAGCGAAAATGTCCTGTTCCTGACTTGTCGTCAGTGGTAAATCCACAGGATCCCAAGTTTAATGTGAGTAGAGCCTTTTCCCACCCCAGCAGTGCTTAGAATGTCTGTCAATTGCGCAGGAATTGCTGCGAAGTGTTCGTGTTGACTCCCAATCGACAGACGCCGGGGATTTCGGGCTGCGACCGCCGGAAACGTGGCAAGTGCAGGAATTGCTGGCTCATCCGGGACTCCTGATTGTGCAGAATCCCTTCACCGCTTTGGGGCAGCGATACTGGATTGCACGGTGTCTCAGAGACTTCCCGAAGCATCCCAATCGGACGAATTTGCTGACGCAGAAGCTTCCGGAGAGCGTCCGGAGGGATTTCTGGGCTCTCCTCAGCACCGAAGAGGAGGAAAGTGTGCGGAAGAAGCTTAAGACTTGCCTGAGATGGTCTACATTGGGTTATCATCATGATTGGGAGAGAAAAGTCTACAGCGAAGAGGAGAAACATCCTTTTCCCGCGGATTTGCACGCTCTCACTGGGATTCTGGGGCAAATCCTCAGCTTTCCTGGCTTCAGAGCTCAAGCGGCTATTGTGAATTTCTATCCTCAGGGCAGCACACTCGCTGGTCACACAGATCACTCGGAAGTTGACCTGGAAGCGCCGCTTTTCTCCATCAGTTTCGGTCAGGAAGCTGTCTTCCTGATTGGCGGCACTTCCAAGGACTCTCCAGCGACTGCTTTGCTCCTCCACAGCGGCGATATTGTTATAATGTCCAAACAGAGTCGATTGTGCTTCCATGCGGTGCCAAAAATCCTCCTGAACGGCAGAGAATCGTGGAATTCCGGGGATTTTCCAGCGGGAGTGACTCAAAGGCCGGAGATTGACGCGGATCTGTGGCTGAAGTGCAACCAGATGGACTTCTGGCGGCCCTTCAACCATTATCTCAGCGACTGCCGCATCAATCTCAACATCCGGCAGGTTCTGGCCGCCGACGCGACGACGCTGTGACGGAAAGAGGCCAGAGAATGCGCTCGGCTCCCGCTGCGCGACTGCCGAGGCGTCATGTGCTCCATCAAGCCGTCAACTGTGGTGATTTGGAGGCGATGGCGAGGAATTCCCGGCAATTCACACCCAAAATCTCGCCTTTCACTGCTGAATTTGGAGCATTTTTCTATGTAAAATTGTACATAATTTATTGAAATCTGTCATTGATTAAATTGTTTGCCCAACAACAACTTTCTGGGGACGAATTCCACCCACTTTGGGGGGCTTCCAGAGGCCGATTTCTGGAGCTCATTTGCATGCGTGTTTGCCTGGAAACACGCCCGAAACTTTGTCTGACTGGATTCTGAGGCGCTTCGGGGCGGAATTTATGAATTTGTCACATTTTGATTCCTCCCAAAATTTGAATAGAGACGGCAAAGTTTGGAAAATTATTCACTTTGTGCACATCTTTTACAGAACCACAAATTTATAATATTGCAGGGAAATTAAGAGTCAAAAAGTTGGAATAATTAGGAAGTTAATGAAGTGTCTTTGGCTTGAATAAATGGAATATCAAAAAGAGAAGCACAAAAGAATCTCTCTGTGCCGTGAATCGAGGCGCTAAAGCTGTGATTCTTGTGATAACTTTGTAAGAAGGCTGAAGATTGAGACTCGCGCTGATCCATCTTGCTGAGCCCACGAGAGGGAGAGAGAGAGATTAGCTGAATCACTCACAATCCGGCGCGAAGAGGCGCGCGAAGGCTGCAACATCACTTAAAAGGGTGATCAATCAGCCTCGCTTATTAATATTTCTACACTTTTTACCCGCGTGAGTCGCCGGGAAAATGCAGGTGATAAAAGTACAAGAAGTCGAACTGTGGGAGAAATTAAAATGCACACTCATTTCGGAGCGACTCGCGCGGAGGAGAGAATAAAAGTACAAGACATTGTCGAAGACAAAAATCAACCAAATCGACAAGGTGAGGAACGAATTGTCTCTGCTTTTCCCCCAACAAATCCGCACCATTTGACTGAAACAAGGGGTAGATAATACAATCAAAAGTGGTGTACAGATTAGCTGAAGTGTAAGGAAGTGAAAGTGTTGAAGAAATTGCAATAATTCGCATAATTATTTTGATTTCTTACTGATTATTCAACGTCTAGAAATCCATGAATTGAATTTGATCATCTTGACATATTTTTCTAGGTTATGTGACTGAGTTTTATGACAAAATAACACTCCAAAGTTAGATATTCTTGCACTGAAAATGAAAATATTTCATTTATGAATAGATTTTCGCATATGAACTTCATAAAAATAGCATTTATGCAAAATAAATGGTAAAAAACAGACTAAAATCGAACATAACCTCTAATTTTTGTACTTAACAGCTGCGATTTTGAGATAGAAAGATTCTAATTGAGCGAAAATTACTTAAAAGCAGTAATAAAAGATTCTCCAAAGGAAGAAAATGATAAAAGATGATCTCAAAATGTCAGATGGAAAGGTTAGAAAGTTAGATTTTAGGTTAGATTTCAGTCGAATTGTAGTCAATTAATCGTTGATTAATCAATATTTCCTCCTTGGACCCAAAAGTCTTTGGTGCAGTTGATCAGCTAATGGAAATAAGTATGAAATGTGGTTTTAATCAGAATCACTTGAGAATTAAATCGATTGATATTGATTTTTATGAGAATGCTCTCTTAAAATTCATGCTAAAAGTGCCTAAAATCAAAAAGCCGCACAAAGTAAGCAATAAATGGTGAAAAGGCAGTTTGATAAAAGGATGATTTTGGGTAAAACTCTTTGAGTGGTCTAAGAATAGCAAAACACATTTCGTCTGTTTTTCCTTCAGCCGCTTTTCTCACGACTTAATCATTTAATGCAATTTAAATTAGCTTTATGGCCCCGACATGAGCTCTTTAATCCGCTGAGACCAACTATTTGTCACTAAAACTAATTCTTCAAGTCTGTCTCGCATAATAATTAATTCGCTCTTGATTGTGGGAGTGAAAAAGCGACCGAGAGTGTCAACAAATGAGACAGTCGTCTTGGATTAGAAGGCTTCATCCGTTTAAAAATAGATAAAATTTGCATGCGCTTAAAAACACGCCGCGACTTGGTGTGAATCTGGAAATCACAGCTCATGAAATCATGTCTCAGAAAAACACTGGGTAAAAACTCCAAATTATTAGTGAATTCTCTATTGATTTGCATTGCATATTGAGCAAGAGAAAAAAAGCAACAAAACGCGGCCACACTTTTATGTATATTGTTGCTTTTTTGCCGCCTCTCTTTTATTCCGACAATTTTGCCAGTTCAAATAAAAATGTCAATCAACCTGGAGGCGATCAATTTGGATATTTGAATGCTGTGCGAAATCTTTTCACTGCCAATTTGCTTATGCTGGAAGGAATGCTCGTGACATGGTCACTTTATAGGGAGATTCGACTGCCAAAAACACCTATTTTATACAGCATTTTATGCGCTGATCTCCAAAGTGAATTTGACAAAGAGAGGCGAGAACTTTTCACTCCACTTCCCTCTCAAATTGATTTATTTTGCCAATCATTCGCTTTTTTTTCAAGCAAGAGAGAGAGAGAAATGCGCGCTCCTTGAGTTGGGCTTATCAATTGAAGTGTTATCAATCACTGTCTGATGATCAATTTAATAAATTATCCCAGCTGTAATCATCGCAATTAATATCCAATATTAACATACCTGAAATGATTGATTTTCGTGCAAATTCACTGGAGAGCAGAGCACCTCAAAGTGTCACTTAAATACTCATTTATTACAATGCGTTTGTCACTCAAATCGACTCACATTTCGGGTCGCTTTTGACTGTCTTTGAGCAGAAGAAAGGAAGAAAAAAAAGATTGTAACAACAAATAATTTCTCATTTGATGATTTTCAATTTATTTTCTCACTCTTTGGCGAATTTAATTCATTAATTACATCGCGTCATGTTAGGAGATCTTTTTTTTGCCTGTCTTTCAGACAAATTTTCGAAGTTGAAAGAGATCCGATTTGTGGATAAGGACTGTTTTGGGTGATGAAGAGGAGTAATATATATATTGAGGAGGTTTATTTGTGTGGTTGGGGCTTTTGTGAAAGGGAATCAGGAGGCAGAACATGAAGCAATAAACACGAGAATGAGTGATAAATTTTATCTGTCATCGTTTTAATTGTAATTAATTATTGCCTCCTTTCGAGGGCTCATTTTTGGCGGACACAGCTTAACTAGGAGGCTAAAGACTGCCTCAAAATAAGCTAAAACTTAGAGTAATAATAGCTTTAAACCTACACACAGTTTAGTGAAATTGTCTATCAGAAGAGGTAAAGAAAGAGAAAAATTCGCCAGGCTAAGAGAATTCTTAAGGAATTTCATTGCAATTTATGAATGATAAATCATAAACACTTCACAGGACTTCAGACTTCATGAATTCTTCATAACAAGACTAAAATCAACAAATAACTGGAATTTAACCGAAAAATAACAGAAATTTGACCGAAAGCTAACCAAAATCTAACTAAAATCTTAAAAACTAACGTTTTCATACAATCTTTTATGATTTTCTTCCCCTAAAATTGTTTTTCTGCGTATTTTTCGTAGTTGAAATCGTTTGATTAAATAATCTTTTTATTTCTAAGCAAAAATCGCGACAGTTTATTAAAAAAAATTGAGATTTTACTTCGTTTTAGCATTGTGTCCTAAAATCATGATTTTCATTCAAAAAATACTCAAGGATTTCTATTTAAAGATGTTTTTTAATCTTTAGTCAGTCACATAACTTAGAAAAATATATCAAAATGCAGAATTTGGGTAAAAATTAATTTCTGGAAGCGAAATAATCAACAGAAAATCAAAGTTGTGAACAAATGTTGTAAAAATTTAATCACTTCCATTTCCCCCTTGGAAAATCCATAACAATCAAGGCTAGAGCACTTTTCTCTTCTGTACTCCCTTCAGGATCGCGGAGTTGCGGTCCAGATTTCGGTCAGGTGCTTCACTCCTTGGCCTTCAGTGGGAGCAATTCCTAACGAGCGAGAGAGAGAGAGACAGTTTTATTGTTGGCCTCTCAAGTGAATAAATTACGCTCGCCGTGAGGATCTTAAATGTAATCCGACAGTGACTCCCTGGCGAGCGAGCTGAGGTCCACGGGGGCAAGCGTGGCATCGCAAGTGTTAGTATTTTTATTGTTCGCCGTGGCAATAACTCGACAGTGCTCCGCGGAGAGAGAGTGTATTATTTGTAAAATGCGTGACCGGAGCCACGACATTGACATATTGACTGTGTCTCCCCGTCATGAGATGACGGGGCGTTCATCCGCTGGACCGTGGAAGTCTCCAGTGCGATATTAATTGCAGACACTTACTCAACGCCTCAAATACCTTCGGCCGTGCGCACACTGGACATTCCTGTGGGCTGCCCGCACCCGCGGTGCCCCCCCCCCGAAACGGCCCTGGCGAGGAGATAAATCTCCACCCGAAAAGGGGAGAAATTAGACGGAGGAAAAAGAAATGCTGAAAGAGACAAATGGAGTCTGCTGACGCTTCGTTAATCCAGAAGTCAAATTTGATTAAGTCCCTCGGACTCACCATGAATTCTCTTTCCGTTCATTGCACGATCAATTGTGCCAAGGTATCTCTTCAGCAGCACTCATTTCGGCTCATTAGGAGCTCCTCGATGGAACTTATCAGCGCGTCTCGCCGCAATTTCGCTCCGACGAAGATCTGGGAAGTCTAGCGCTAATTTGGCGCTCCTCATGAAATTTTGATGATTTCCAAGACGCACGTGAAGAGCAATGTAAGAGCGTGAGATTAAGATTGAATGTTTGGATTAGAGAGCGCTTTAGACTTGGATTGTGTAGATAAAAGTTAAGTGAAGGTAATAATTGTGGAGAAGAATTTGGCGCAATGCATCGAAACCCCGCGATTAGAATAATTCTAATTGACACTAGATGTCTCTGATCAGCAAGAAAAAAGCAAGAACAATTCTAAACAATATTTTTACAATTTATTTCCATATGATTGAGTAAATATTGGCGTCTTTTGCTTGAAAAATCAGCAAATTTCCCTCCTAAACTCGCAATTTGTTTCCCTTCTTGGCAAATTCAAGGGAAATTTTCACATTCTCATCTACATATTCTGAACTCAACACTTTGTCGCATCTCATCGACCAAGTTTTCCATCTGCAAGAGAGAGAAAAGTTTCCCGCAGTGTAATTTCCAATAATTTGTAATGGAAAGTGTCTTTGGGAATTGTTTTCTAATTCTCACCATCTTCGCCGCATTTCACGCCATAAAGGACGCCCAATATGGTCCTAAAGAGGAGCTTTTCTGGCGCGCTTTTCCTTTGTGTGTGTTCACCATGTTGGCAAAAGTTTTTTTTATTGTCCCTCGTCAATTTCCCAACGCCACGCAAACTCCACGGGCATCCCAATGAAGTTGCTGAAAATATGTGTTGTCGGCACGAGAGAAGAAAAAAAAAGCC